GCAAAAATACTGTAGGATGTTCAGTTTTTTATCATTTTTAAACTAAAAGTTTAAAACTATATTACACAGACAGGGCCATTTTATTTACACGCAAAGCATTCTGGGTAAATAATGACGTGGATAGGTCCTCGGTGCTTAGCCTGTTAAGCAAAGGCTAACAGGCTAAGCTGAGGTTCTTCTTCCATGAAGCAGCTCTGTTGTCCTTTCACATTTCCAGTTGTAAACTGAGTCATTTCTACCTTCTCCTCTCTGTCAACGCTCTCTGGTTTCATTTAAAAGAGTCGATCATCAGATATTGTCCAAGATTAACCTTCAGGGTGGATACAGCTCGCTCACAACCTATCCACGTCATCATTTACCCAGAATGCTTTGTGTGTAAATAAAATGGCTCCAAATATGTTTTTGAAAGTTTACAAAACTAAACAGCCTACAGTATTTTTTACAGTCTTTATTTTATAGTTAAAATATATGTTTGTCAAATAAAATCTACTGTTACAACTAATCAGGGATCCCTTTAAGGCCCAGGCCCTCCCTTGCAAACAAGATCTGTGATCTCAGTGGGACTTGCCTGGTTACATAAAGGTACATAAACCGCAGTAAAAAGAAACAGTGAGCAGGTCTAGCTGGCTCAAATACAAGCTGAACTTTTTTGGAAAAATAAAAACACTGAAAGAAGTTCAGTTCAGGACTCAATGACTCAGCTGACTTCACTAATGGGCTCCTCTTCAACAGTTTTCAACTAATATTTTACAACTCCTGCACTGGCAGGCCTTAAGCATAATTGGCACTAAGACTTAAAAAAACCATAACAATACCGTAGTAGCTGCTCAACTCCTGCTGTTTTCACATTAAATGAGCTGAAATTCGGCTCTCCGCTCTACTGGTGCAATAAAAGCACAAAGTGAAAAATCCCAGTGTTTTTGCATCAACATCACTAAAAGCACAAGTTCAGCTTACTTTCAATTGGTTTGCCTGCATTATTGCCATGTTTTTTCCTAAGTTAAATCTGCATTTGATTTGTTTAGAAATTCTAATAATTGAGAGGAAACAATATAATCCTGTCCAAATACTAAGTATACGCTGGCTGTATTTTGTGTGTTTTTAGGAATATTGGTGAAATTATTCTTCCATCGCTGACGAGAAAACACCAACCTTTGGTTCTCTGAAACGTTGAATGCACGTTGGTGGGCTGAGAATAATTCCCAAATTTTTGTTTGTCTATCCTTACAAGAAGTCTCAGAATGTCCCTTTGTAAACATGTACCTAAAAGTATCATCTGTAGCAGGATGTGGAATATAGACCAAAACAACTTATACAATAGAGCAGACGCTGCAGCATGGCGTCTGTCCAACTCTCATTTCCCCTGCTCTGTTTTTGTAATCAGAATGAAGAGTTTGTATCAAAGAAAATTCAGGTCCGTGTCCACATTCCTTCCAACATTACTGTAGATTTTGAGGATGACCCACCCACCTAACCTCCCAAAGTATAAGTCAAACTGAGCTAGAATTCTGAAAATCCAACGTATTTGTGTCTACTCTGTGAACTGTACCATCATCATCATCAGTTCTCTGCAGTGGCTTTACTTCTCGTTGCTGATTTCCAACTCAAAGTTATGGAATGCCTGAACTGTAAGGCTTCAGCTGGATCAAAGGAGAGGTCTGTGTCAAAAATAAATTCATTTTAAATCTGTGATAGGACTCACAAGAGGCTCAAATAACACATAAAGACACCGTTGTTCTAATACACACAAAAAAAGAACAACAAGAAAATGCATTCTGTATGCAGAAAAATCCTAATGCAATCAAAGCAAGTCACATTTTCCTACAGAGGCTGAACGACTCTCATCCAGCCTAGATTTCTACTTTGTTGCAGCCAAATAAATCCATTTTCTGATCTGATCAGAGAAAAAAAAATACTAAATCCCTAAAGTCATGCTGCTTTGAAGATCAGCTTTGCATGTTTGTTCGTCTGCACACGGCCTGATACAGCCTGATACTGGTACGCAAACCAAGTGTTTTCCACCGGTTCAAACACACTTGTCATCAGCTCTCCAGTTCCCAAATGGAATAATATTTAATCCACTTAAAGCTGGCTGGGTGTCAGTGTCTGGCTAAGTAGGGTTTAAAAAAAAAGTTTGTCTTTTTAGTACAAACGTTTTGTCTAAGCTGAGGTTGGATGCCATGGTGACTTTATCGCCTCGACTCGTGGGTGGCGAGTTCACTTTGCTCAGCACTAAATTCCAGACAGGCACACACATCTAGAGGTCGACCAATGTGAGATTTATTTATTTATTTTTACGCCTGACGTCGACCTTTAAACGAAATTTGGTGTACTCATTTATTCGTTTATCTAAAAGAACAATAACAAATGATTTATGCAACAATATACAATCACAAATTAAATGAAAGGTAGCAGAAGAAGAAAAATGTCATATGTCTGCCCCTTTTCTCACTAAACAAATATCAAAAAATAATCTTCAAATCAAGTTAATATGGATTTTCCATTAAAAAGTAACAGTTTGCTTAATTAAACGTACATTTAGCAATTCTCAGAAAAAGTTGCACATTTGAGAAATATATATATAAATAGTATTCTTGCTGAAAGACATATCCTGCTTTTAAATTCTTCTTTTTCACATTTAAACCATTCATTTGGGGTCCATCTGAAGTGAAACTGGTAACTCCACAAGCCCCTCCTTCACCCCTTGTCTGAGGTGTGTCTCAGATTAACTCGTTTTGAGGCTGTCTCTTTAAAAACAAAGGAGGCACTTCATATCCCCCCATCCAGCTTCCAGAGCGATTCTTTCTAGTTTAATAGAGGAGTTTACGACCATATAGCAGTAAAAGAAATGCACATGAAAGATTCAGTTTTACGCTGGATGCTCTATCACAGCCTCTTCATTTTCCTATTTGAAATTGATTAAGTACATGCAGACATGGCCAACTGCCAATCAATTGATCCCTCTATCTCAGGGGTGTCCAAACTATGGCTCGCGGGCCACCGTTTTTATTGGCCCGCGGCAAATTCTGAAAATATAATTGAAAATGGCCCGCACAAGAAGCAGTCCATTTATTGCGGAGCCTCTAGCTCCGGCTCTGAGCGTCTGATCCGGGCGGAACCAGGCTTGTTTTAAAGCTCTGGGTCTGCTCTATGTGGTTGCAAGCTCCTGGGATCCCCCGCGGAGATATAAGCGGTCAAATGTTGGCGGGCGAGCTCCGGCGGGTGAAACGGCTGAATTTTCAGCACGGGGGCTGCTGGTGCTGATGCAGGGGAATAAAAGGAAGAGATCCAGTCAGGTGGAACCGGTCCTGGATGCTGAGCACCGGGTTTAACCTCTTTTATTTATTACACAAAATAAAAAAAAGGAAATATAACCCCCACACCCCATGTCTTATCCAAAACGTCACCGTTTGATGCTTAAAGACAGTCTGATCTTACCTGAGCTATCCTGCACTTGAGCTCGGCCTTCTCCAGCTCCCAGGCACATCTGTCTCTGGTGTACTGCAGCTGGAGCTCGCTCCTCTTCTCCTCCTCTCTCTTCACCTCGCCCTGCACCTCCTCCAAAACCGTTTTCAGGTCCAGCAGAATCCTCCGGTTCTCCCCACCCTGCACAGAAACACACATCCCTGTTGTCAAACAAGCCAAATGCATTTTTAATATAACTCACAAAGGCATCAGGAGGTATATTGATGCTTTATTACAAAACAACACAATTCTGAGTTTTTTTAGGCTCTGATGAATCAAATTCTCTTTAAAAAGGCAAATAACTTTCAACGCAGAAAGGAACAAATCCAGTCTTTTACTTGTATGTCAGCCACTTCTCTCAGCAGTGACTCCTTCTCTCTCATCCACTCCTCTTTCTCCTGCACATGTCGCTTTTTCACATCCTCCAGTTTCTTCTTCAGCCGCGTGTGCTGGATTTGTTGCTGCTGCTGGGGTTCAGGGCCCGGCCACATTTCTCCCCCGAGCCCCCCGAGCTGCTGCTGCTGGGTCCCTGCTCCCCCCTCCTCTCCCGCCCCACCCAGGAGGGGCTCCTGGATGTGACTGAAGACCGTGGGTGGAGAGGAGATCCTCCTCAGCGGGCTGCGGGTCTTGCCCCTGCCCCTGTCGGCCCTCTCCATCCTGGAGCGGGACACGAACTCCCACCCCTGAGAGGGGACGTATCCCCCGCCTGCACCGCCCCCACCGTGCAGCCCCGTGCCGTTAATAAACGCACTCCACATCTCTCATTAAAAAAAATAAATACAAAAAAAAAGTGTCACCAAGCTATGTTACACAAGCAGACATTTCTGATTAAAAAAAAAAAAAGTTGGGTTAAGTTCAATTAACTTTTGCATGAACGCAAAGTGTTTCTTATCCGAACCCGGCTGAGTCCCGCACCGGCCACCCGGCAGCGGCACCCAGGGGAGCCGACACAGGCGACAGGTCTGGACTCCCTCCTCTCCTCCATGTCGTCACAGCAGCCGTAAATCCGTCATTTTGGCGCCACGATCCCATCGCTTGTTAACTTTTATCACAGCTCTCCGCTCCACCTGCGCTGTTCCTCTGCGCCATGTTTACACCGAGCCCCCGGCCGGGACGAACCACCGCCGCCTCCCTCCGGCTCCTTCCGCGCTGCCTGGGCTCCTTCAGCTCGGAGAGCAGCCTGACACTGTCCGACACCCAGTAAACACTCCGCGGAGCTCCCAAAAATATCACGAGCAGCGGGAGTATTTTTACCCCCTCTGGAACCGGGAGCGCTATTTTTTTTCCCTCCGGAGCTGAACGACGCCTACAGCTGGAGGAAGCTGCGCAGTTTAATCAACACTGCGCTAATTTACGTCGCCACCTTGCGCTGTAGCCATGGCAACAAATCCATTCACGCACGCGGTGAGCTGCAGCTAACTACCATTTGTTTTTTAGAGACAACAAACTAGTTATTATACAGGCCAAAACCAGAGTCACAGTACTTTTTATGAAAAATGGCTGCCTAATCATTTTTATAAACAAATGTTGTTGTTGTCAGAACTACAAGCCTAACATCTGGGGGGCTGACTATCACGAGGAAGGCAAGGGTGGGAATTTATTTATGAAGAAAGCACATCTGTTTATCTCACATATTACAACTAATTATGCGATACAACCACCAAAAAAAGTAGTTTGATGATTTTATTCGCCAAATAAGCCCACTTATGTAAGCCAAGACTACCTTAGCTGCCCAGTTATTGTCTAACTCTTTCAGCTGCATGAAGCTGTAAAGCACCAGGTCTTACCGTGTCTCCTACAGCTGCAGCGATAGTCCTCACTCCAAGTCAGCCACAACAAGGCTCCTACATGCAGCTCAGACCATGGCAGGAATGCAGCCGCACAGTTAAAAACAACTGCTGAGCGGCGGCCTACAGCTGGAATGATGCTTTCATTAACCGGAATAAAAAATTCCCCTTTCTCTCTCCCTCCCTCCTTCGTTTCTCCTCCTCTTCCTCCAACAGCTGGCCCTAATACAGTGAGTGTGAGTGAACCACCCCACCGGTGATGAAGGAAAGAACCAGACCCATTCTGCCCCCCCATTCCAGTGGTCAGTCAGAACCCTCATCTGCACATTTTTCTCCTGATTTTTCAGACCCCACCCAAAGCCATTTTTACTCTACGGTTGCACAACTTTCCACAGTCCAAGTGTTGGCAACATGTTGGGTTTTACTTTTATATGCTGAGCACAAAACCCAGGGGTCACGTCTGTCAGGCCTCTAACTGAGAAGAAGAAACTAAAACTGTTAATAAACACAGTTTGTGCTGAAATGTGTTGAATTCATTTTAAACTGAATTGGTCAAGTTAAAACAAGCTAAATAGAAGCTACAGTCAGCAAAACAATAGCTAAAATCTAAAAGCAGCAAGATAAAATCAGCAAAATGATAGCTAAAGTGTCAAAAAAGCAAAAATGTGGCTAAAATTAACAAAACCATAAATTCACAACTAAACCATTAAAGTTAAAACAGGCAAATATGAAGCTAAAACCAGCGAAAACTGTAGCCAAAAGTATAAATCAACATTAAGCTAAAATAAAAAAACATATATAACTAAAGTCCACAATTAGCTGAATAGATGCTAAGTACAAAACCATAATTAGAAAACTAGTAGCTGAAAGCTAAACAGTAGCTAAAAGCTAATAGTATAGTATCAAAAAACAAATAGACAAACCATAGCTAAAAGCTAAACTTTGTAAAAGATAATAAAATTAGTGTAAGTAGCTGAAAGGCACAATCAGCAATTTTGTAACTGAATTCCTGGAGGTAAAACAGGCCAGTGAAGCTAAAATCAAAAATGATAGCTATCAAATCAGCAATGCAGTGAACAAGCTAAAATTTAAAAATGCATACAGCGGGTAAAATAAGTATTGAACACGTCAACATTTTTCTCAGTAAATATATTACTAGAGGTGCTAATG